GAAATATTGAAAGATCAGCCAATGTGTGAAAAGTGGGAACGGTCAAGCACCCCAATCATGGGTGATTGCTGAGTAGTGAGCGCCCTGCGAGTGGGCTGGGTTCTGATGCTCTACTTATTGGCCGAAAATGGTCATTTAGTACATTTACTGATTTTATTAATTTCTAAATATTGAAAGATCAGCCGATCTGCGAAAAGTGGGAACAGTCAAGCGCCCCAATCATGGGAAATTGCTGATTAGTGAGAGCCCTGTGAGCGGGCTTAATTCTGCTGCTCCACTTATTATTGATTTTATTAATTTTGAAATACTCAAATTCCAGCCAATTCGTATAAGTGGTGTACAGTAGAGTGCCAAATCACGAGGAAATACCTGAGTGGCGAAAGCCCTATGAGTGGGCTGGGTTCTGCTGCTCCACTAAGTGGCTCAAAAAAATCATTAATTGACTTTATTTATTTCGAAATATTCAATTTGGTGAGTACAACTCAGATCAAGGCAGCAAACCAACAAAAGGGAGTGCTTGAGAGAGAGAGAGAGAGAGAGAGAGAGAGAGAGAGAGAGAGTTGTCAAACGGGCTTGGGAAGACCACCGAGAAAAGAAGATCTATGGAACTAAACCCTCGAGTGAGCAAGCAACGAAAAACACCTGGTCATGATCATCCATCAGGAACGTGAAGACGTTTGGACGGACACAAGCACAAGAGATTGGGTGACTTCGATGATGTTAGTGCTCATTGGCAGATCAAGCACTGACTGCTTATTGGCAGATCAGGCTTTGGCTGCTCATCGGCAGATCAAACACTCATTTCTCACTGACAGATCAAGCACGGGCTGTTTACTGGCAAATCAAGCATTGGCTGCTCATCGGCTGGTCAAACAGTCATTCCTCATGGGCAGATCAAGCACGGGTTGCTTACTGGCAGATTAAGCATTGGCTGCTCATCGGCAGGTCAAACAGTCGTTCCTCATTAACAGATCAAGCACGGGCTGCTTATTGGCAGATCAGGCTTTGGCTGCTCATCGGCAGATCAAACACTCACTACTCGTTGACAGATCAAGCGCGGGCTGCTGATTGGCAGATCAAGCATTGGCTGCTCATCAGCGGATCAAACATTTATTCCTCATTAACCGACTAGTTATGTGCCGCTCATTGGCCGATGAGGCACTGACTGCTTATTAGCAGAGCAGACACTGGCTGATTATTGACAGATCAGGCATTAGTTGCTCATAGCAGGGTTACATCAAGCCAGACATATTGACCGTCGGGATCTTCGAACAACTGTTGACGCCTTACTATTTGGTCGCTTCAATGCGGCTCAATAGCGAAAGTGGTTTCTACTCTCCAACTTGAATCGGATGGCATAGTGTCCTCGAACCAGTTCTAGTGTTTGCAGTGCAGAGACACAGGGATAAGAGGGAGTATAATTATTATTGTTATTATTACTTTATTATTATTTTCTTATTATCATCATTGTCGGTCCAATTGCAAAAGATCTCAGAGCTCAGTCTCCGAGTGGGAATTTGATAGGCAAGTTTGAGCCCCACTCCCTGTCGATCGCTGAGGACCTCCGAAGCGGGCGCAGCGGGTGACAGACGTTGTTGCCCTTGGCTTCAGCGAGCGGCAGGCGTCCACCTCCCCGGGTTTCCTCACAACAGGTCTTTCAAGACACCCGGTTTGCCATCGTCATCAGACAAAGCAGTAACGCTCTCAATAGACGCAGCCAAATGTTTCCGCAGACCTTTCTTATTATCTATTCCACAAGCCTTCAGAACCCTGACGGCTCTCTGGGAAAGGCGAGGCATCTGGACCCTTTTAAACAACCCTACAGTGCTTACACTTGACGACTTCTTCGGGAAAGCGGCCAATGACCTCCCTGAAAGACGTTTCTCGCGCACGACTTTTAAAGGCTTCATGGGCAGGGACATTAACAACCTCACACCTGTAGAACATAGAAAACAACCCACAACCCACAAGCTTTTTTTTAACAAGGGGTAATAGGTACATTAACCCATGACATCAATTTGGACGAACACAGAGCTGGCTAGTGACAAATATGTGAGTGCTCCTATTCACAAATCTTACCGTGCGCGGGAGCCCTTTGAGGGAACTCGCCCTCCTGTCGCGCCACTGCGCCAACGTCCATGGACGATTCGAGGTTCTGGAACTCGGCCACGGCTGTGTCGCTAACCAGCTCGGTGGCAGCTGAGTCGCTTGGCAAGTCGATGGCTTCATGAAGCACCATTTCCCGACCGGTACTGAGGACAGATGCTCGATCACCCTGTCCGGCACCTCAACGGGTGGACGGAGAATCATGATATCTCCGCTCTGGATCCATCTTGATGCTGACGGCCACCTCACCGCCTTCCACGGAGGATTCGACGTTCTGCACCGAGCTGGTTAGCGACACACCAGCTCGCTGTGAAGAACGAATCTCGGTGAAGAACGGGTTGCCCACCGAGATTGTTCTGCGTTCATGAAGAACCCGTTGCGGATCCGCTGGACGATCCAAACCGGTTAGCGACACACCAGCTCGGAAATATGGTGATTGTTTGCCCACCCGTTGCGGCTGAGTCGCTAACCAGCTCGCTAGCTGCCGAGTCGTCACCCAACTCTATGGCTTCATGAAGCACCATTCCCCGAGCGGTGCTTAGGACAGACGGTCAACCACCCTGTTCTTCACCGCAACGGGTGGGCAAACAATCACCATATTTCCGTTGTGGATCCGTCCGGATGTCGACAGTCACCTCACCGCCTTCCACCACGGGTTCTCCGCCTTTCTCATCGCCATGAACCCGAGCTTCCACCGAGGGTTCTTCTTCGTCTTCATCGTCGCCAAGAACGGGAGCTTGCACGGACGTCCACTGACCTCCCTCAACGACAACCTCTCTCGTCGTGGCCACAGCCGAACGACTGTGCAGAACCTCTTCGGACATCCCGATCACCAGCGCTTGTGCGTGGAGCCACTTCACGTCTTCACGAGTCGGCCCGTGTCTCCTCTCCTCTCCCCGCTGTAGAGCATGCGTTTCCCCCGGAGCTCCTTCACTCTCGCTGTCAGTGTCCACGGACGCACCCTCCGAAGCATGACGTTCACACTCGCTACCCCCAGTCTCCAACACTTTGCGAGACTGCCAGCGTTGAGTCTCCTCTTCCCGATGTACAGGACGCGTTCCCGGAGAGCGCTCCTCTTCCCCAGGAGTGTGACGTTCGTGCTCGCTACCACCGGTCTCCAACACTCCTGCAGCGGGCCCCTCCAGCACGTTGCAAGACCGCCAGTCTCGAGGCTCAACACATGAGAACGGAGGCGAGCACGGCAGCCCTGTGTCCAACTGAAGATGCGGGGAGCAGGACGTGACATTTTCTTGGCCCCGCGGAACTGTTGCGTGAGGAGCACTTATGGCGGAGGGCGACGTCAGCAAATCCGAATGTATTCGGAGTTTGTGGCGGTCGCCCGAGCCGAGGGAACCAAAGGTCGCACCTTCGCTCCTTCGCAATGCAGGCATCACGCCCTCCAGGCAAAACGAAGGCGCGCCCTCTTTCAGGAGCAAGGTGTTGAGCACATGAAACCTCTGCTGCGCACGGCGGGATGGACTCTCCTTGGCAACGGGAAACAAAGTCCTCACAGACGAGTGCGAATCTACTCGCACTTGATCTGACCTCAGGGTGGCCTCGTCTCGCATGTCGGAATCTCGACTCCCTACGCAGTGAGGGTCAGTTTCCATATACTGGGGACTCCCGGACGTTCTACGCTTTCCGCCCGACCCCTTCCTGCCCGACCCCTTTCTGCCCGAGTCCTTTCCGCCGGACGCCTTCTCTACCGACGATGTCTCGCCCGTCCCCTTTCCGACAAACTGTGAGTCGTCTCCTTTGCCACCTCCCCCGTCTCCTTCGTTTTCTCCTCCACCCCCTCCCGGATGCTGACCGCTCGATGGAGGTTGCGGCATGCGCCAGTCAATGCCACGAGACGGTGTCGTTTCGAGTGTGTAGAAAGGCGCTCGACGTCTGGATCGTTCTTCTCGGGGTTTATGAGAGTCTGACTCAAATGCTCCACCAGAGCAGTTCTCGCTATTCTCTTAAATGCACCCGCTCCCAGTCTCTTTAGTCCACTCCACTTGCCATCGGCCTCCTTCATTGCCATGACCCACATTCCATTCCTCACAGCAGGTTGGAATATCCTTGGGTGCCAGACGACGTTGTGTCCCCAGACATCCTCCGCCGTGAACTGGTGATGCTTGCCGAAGAAGTAGAGTCTGTCATTCTGCCAGGTGTCGTGGTCCTCAGGGAGCCTGTCACAAGGTTCGTGATCATAGTCTTTGTCTTCCTCCCTGTCATCAGACGATTGGTCGTCGACTGGTTCGCCCCGAAACACACGCTTCAAACCGGCAGGGGACATGCTATATCTCCGAGGGCCACCTTCCTCTTCATCACCAACCTGTCCAACCACCCAAGGGAGTGGCATGGACTCGAAATCGAAGGTTTCCAAGTCGCTCAGTTCCTCCATGTCTTCAGCGTCGAAAGGGTACTCCTCGTCAAACTGTGACTTGTAGTTTTCCAGGGTGAGAGGTTCGGCCAGTGTGAAGTAAACGTGCTCCAGCCTTCTCAGGAAATGCGAGACAGACTCCCTGGGTGCATCGTAGACACACAGTGGCGGCCCGCTCGAAAGCTGTGTGTTCGTCGGACCCATCAGGACAGGCTATGGCGTGTTTCAACGTGGCAGAAGAGGAAAGGTTCTCTCGTAGCATGTGGGAGGACGGCGGCGTGACAAGTTCTCAAGGACCTGCTTACGGGGAGATGGAGCGGAACCCGTCCCGTCTACTTGGTCTACTTGAAAACTTTTGCAAAGCTGGGCAAACTGTTTTTTTTTTAGGGAAGGCGCATGTGTCTGTCGTGTGGGAACTCCTCCGCACCGGTCAGAACGTCGTCGCGTTGGAGAAGGAGGCAAAAATGATCGATTACCTTTACGAGTTCGTGAAGACTCGCGTTGCAGACACTCGCAATGCTTGCGAGTTTGTCCACACCACCGGCGAACGGGACTTGGACCATGAGCACGGGAAACCTTCGTCGGGCTACTGGTCGGGTAGACTGCGAATGTGTTGTCTTCCAGCTTTTCGCCATTAAAAATCACGTACAGGCGGTCACACTCCTCAACCAGCATATTGCCTTCCCGGACAGTGGTCTGCTTTTGTGCATTGCGCACCCACTTCCCTGTCCTGACGTGATGGACGCTAAGCCTGGCCATGCCTTTCAAAAAACTGAGCTCCCAACGAGAGGGGAAAAAAAACACAAGTGCCCAGTGTGTTGGCGAAAGTGTTTGGAGAACGCCTTGCAAGTTCGCGAAATCGTCTTCTCGCCAGTCTGTGAGGAGTGTGGGATCACACAAATCGAGGACGTACAGGTTGCACACGTAATGTCACACAACCTCACGGATCGCAGTGACATGACTGTGAGCTTGGGAAGGCTGGAAAGCGAAAGGAATAAGGCTGGTCACCCGGTTGAGGTCGGGCCATTTGATGTGCCTCACATCCCCGCTGACCCTGATCGTGTCTCGAACTTCTTCTTCCATCCGTCGCAAGATGGAATGGACAGACTTTTCAAAAGATTTAGGGAACCTGTCATCATTGTATAATCTCTTCGCATCGTCGATGGACTCCTTCTCGTGCGGAAGAGTACGTTTGCAAGTGTTCACGTACTCCACCACGCCCTGGAAATGTTTTCGCTTTTCGACCCACACCTGTTTCGTGAAGCCCTGCGGCCCAAACTCCTCCAAAAGCTTCCCCTCGGTCCGAAAAAAATGGCTCCCTTGGCACCAAACACGTTCGTCCTCCTCCGTTTTAAGAAACAAGATGTAGTGGAACATACGGAGCATCACACGGTCCACTTTCCTCGTCACGACCATGTCTTTAATTCCAGGTTTATGCAGACGATTCAGATGGCGAGAGATGGTTAATGGGAGCTTTATTTTTCATCGAATATATGGCAAAATGCCTGTTATACACTTCGGTGTTTTATTTAGTGTGCTTTCTACTCATACATTATTACACCCCGATGCGCTTTCGGTGTTTCGGTACCGAAAACGCACTTCGGGATTTCGGTGTTTGACTTAGTCTATTTTCTACATCTTGATCATTATATCCCGATGCGTTCGGTGCTTCGGTACAAAAAACGCACTTCGGGATTTTAGTGTTTAACTTAGTGTATTTTCTACTCATACATTATTATATCCCGATGCGCTTTCGGTGTTTCGGTACCGAAAATGCACTTCGGGATTTCGCTGTTTGACTCAGTCTATTTTCTACATCTTGATCATTATATCCCGATGCGTTTTCGGTGTTTCGGTACCGAAAACACACTTCGGGATTTCGGTGTTTTACTTAGTGTATTTTCTACTCGTACATTATTATATCCTGATGCGCTCTCGGTGTTTGGGTACCGAAAACACACTTCGAGATTTCGGTGTTTTACTTAGTGTATTTTGTACTCATACATTATTATATCCCGATTCACTTTCGGTGTTTCGGTACCGAAAATGTACTTCGGGATTTCGGTGTTTTACTTAGTCTATTTTCTACTTCTTGATCATTATATCCCGATGTGTATTCGATGTTTCGGTACCGAAAAGGCACTTCGGGATTTCGGTGTTTTACTTAGTGTATTTCCTACTCATACATTATTATATCCCGATGCACTTTCGGTGCTTCGGTACCGAAAACGCACTTCGGGATTTCGGTGTTTTACTTAGTGTATTTTCTACTCATACATTATTATATCTCGATGCGCTTTCGGTGTTTCGGTACCGAAAACGCACTTCGGGATTTCAGTGTTTGACTTAGTCTATTTTCTACATCTTCATCATTACATCCCAATGCGTTTTCGGTGTTTCGGTACGGAAAACGCACTTCGGGATTTCGGTGTTTGACTTAGTGTATTTTCTACTCATATATTATTATATCCCGATGCGCTTTCGGTGTTTCGGTACCAAAACCACACTTCGGGATTTCGGTGTTTTACTTAGTGTATTTTCTACTCATATATAATTATATCCCGATTCGCTTTCAGTGTTTCGGTACCAAAAACAGACTTCGAGATTTCGGTGTTTGACTTAGTTTATTTTCTACATGTTGATCATTATATCCCGATGCGCTTTCGGTGCTTCGGTACCGAAAACACACTTCGGGATTTCGGTGTTTTACTTAGTGTATTTTCTACTCATACATTATTATATCCCGATGCGCTTTCGGTGTTTCGGTACCGAAAACGCACTTCGGGATTTCGATGTTTGACTTAGTGTACTTTCTACTCATACATTACTATATCCCGATGCGCTTTCGGTGTTTCGGTACTGAAAATGCACTTCGGGATTTCGGTGTTTGACTTAGTATATTTTCTACATCTTGATTATTACATCCCGATGCGTTTTCGGCGTTTCAGTACCGAAAACGCACTTCGGGATTTCGGTGTTTTACTTCGTGTATTTTCTACTCATACATTATTATATCCCGATGCGCTTTCAGTGTTTCGATGATTTTCAGTACCGAAAACGCACTTCGGGATTTCGGTACCGAAAACGCACTTCAGGATTTTCGGTGTTTGACTAAGTCTATTTTTTTTTTTTTCTACATTTTGATCATTATGTCCCGATGCGCTTTCGGTGCTTCGGTACTGAAAACGCACTTCGGGATTTCGGTGTTTTACTTAGTGTATTTTCTACTCATACATTATTATATCCCGATGCGCTTTCGGTGTTTCGGTACTGAAAACGCACTTTTGGAATTTCTGTGTTTGACTTAGTCTATTGTCTACATCTTGATCATTATATCCCGATGCGCTTCCGGTGTTTCGGTACCGAAAACGCACTTCGGGATTTCGGTGTTTTACTTAGTGTATTTTGTACTCATACATTATTATATCCCGATGCGGTTTCGGTGTTTCGGTACCAAAAACGCACTTCGGGATTTCGGTGTTTGACTTAGTTTATTTCCTACCTCTTGATCATTATATCCCGATGCGCTTTCGGTGCTTCGGTACCGAAAACGCACTTCGGGATTTCGGTGTCTTACTTAGTGTATTTTCTTCTCATACATTATTATATCC